TGTCGCTGACGAAGAGAGTGGAGGCCAAGTTTGTCGGTAATTTCAGCCGCATTCATGGCGTTGGGAAGGTCTTGTTTGTTGGCAAACACAAGCAGGACGGCATCTCTCAACTCATCCTGTGAATAATTTGAAAATTAGGAAACAAAAGCATTCCGCTTGATATAGCAAAGAAGAAGATGGTGCCAAAGAACAAAGAGGGCTCTGCTACAGGGAGAATAGAATAAAGTGGTAGAGACGTCAAATCGATTCCTACCTCATTCAACATTCTGTGGAGCTCGTCTCTGGCTTCAACAACACGGTCACGATCGTTGCTGTCCACCACAAAAATGAGCCCCTGTGTGTTCTGGAAGTAATGCCTCCATAGCGGGCGGATCTGGAAGGAAAGTATAAGCATAAAAATAATATAATTAGTTTTAAATATGTATAAAACTATGTATAAATATGGCCAAATAGATGAAAATCTGTTCAATCAGTTTGGGTATAAAAAAATAATCAAGGATAAAGCAAGGCCATTGGTACAATATTTTTGGTAAAAATGACAATCAGAGCCAGCCATGCAAACTATCAGGCATTGGTAAGAAATCTCTGCTGTTTTATAAATCAGCCTTCACTCCCCCAGAAATCGTACTAGTGTATTTCTGTAATACATTGGGTATTATTGTAAAGTACTATGGTGGAATTTTTCAGCACTAATATGAGGAATGGGCAGGGCAGAAGAAGCATATGGTGAAAAAGGCAGGACATGATGGTCATTTCACTAGAGGTGGGGCGGGTTAGGGGATTCTTCTGCAGCAAATCCAAATAATAGAATGCTGGCCTATCAAACCATAACCAGGGCTACCTTATGATAATGTTCAAACATAACCCAATTATTGAAATTTTAATTTGCATTAAGGATGAATTTACCTTGTCTTGACCGCCAACATCCCAAACAGTAAAGCTTATGTTCTTGTACTCCACTGTCTCCACATTGAATCCTGGTAAAGGAAACATTAAAAAAACATATATCATAATGAACGTTGGATCAAATATAATTCATCACAAATTAAATTGCTGAGATTCTAAATAAATAAATAAATAAATAAATGTACATGCTAAAAAAATATATGGAGTTGGAATCTGACTTAATAGCAAGCGCACTTTGCAAGGTAAATTTGCTATAATATAGAAGATGATGACAATCAACTACTCTTTCAAAAACTAAACCTACTATATTATACATTTGACTCTCATATTTTATCATAAACACCCATCAAATTAATTCTCATGGTTCAAACATGTACTTGATTATGATCAACATAGACAAACTTTGAATGATTCTTCATAAACACATTTAATTTTTATTTAACAGACAAGGCAAAAAATGTGCTCGAATTATTAAATTTTTGAAAAATTTACATACCTCCAATTCTTAGGTACTCACATATCCAACACCTGAAGTTTGATATTGACATTTATATTACTTTGGTGCCATAAAACTAGGTGTATTTCACTTTAAGCTGTTAGTAATAGTGGTAATTTCAATGTGATGTTAAAGATTCGAGTATTTTAGATGTAAATATGAAATTTTAGATGTTAGATATATAAAAATATAAGAA